GTCCTTTCCCTGTCCCACCTGTCTATGTAGGGGGGCAGGGCGGAGGCGTAAACCCGGCGCAGAGACACCTTGTTCTCCGCCTCCATGTGTGTCAGGACCAGACTCAGCACGTCGTCGTGACGACAGGGCCTCCTGTGGGTGGGGGCGAGCACAGACGGGGCTTCTCGAAAACCAACATCAGGTCCAACAGACAGGACAGGACCAGCTGGAGGCGGGACAGGAGGAGGACGAGAGAGAAGACGTGGCAAAATAAAAGTCCCTCACACGTGCATGTGTGTATGTGTGTGTGTGTCTTACCTGTATGACTGCAGCCTCGGTGGTGAACAGGTGTTTGAACAAGGCTTCATACATGACGTCTGCTCTGTTGAACTGACGAAGCTCCGCAGCAGGCTGAGGCGCGCACACACACACACACACACACACACACACACTCAGATATTTCCAGAGATAAATAACCGTGTGTGTGTGTGTGTTTGTTCTTACAGTGTTGATTGACAATGTGATGCAGACAGCGAACTCCCAGCATGCAGTTCTCTGGTCTGAAGTGGTCATTGAGAAAGAGGGAGGGAGGGAGAAATCGAGGCAAGTGAGGCGAGAGAGAGGGGCGAGTGACCTAGAGGAGAGATGGAATTACAGAACAGTGTGTGAGCAGCTGGTACCTGGTGACACCAGGTGACATCAGATGGTACCATGTGGCGGTATGGGTCACCTGGTGTCATCAGTTGGTACCAGGTGACACTAAGTGGCATCAGTTGGTACCAGGTGTCATCAGTTGGAACCAGGTGACATCAGGTGACACCACGTGTCATTAGGTGGTACCAGGTGACATCAGGTGACACCAAGTGGCATCAGTTGGTACCAGGTGACATCAGGTGACACCACATGTCATTAGGTGGTACCAGGAGACATTAGGTGACACTAAGTGGCATCATTTGGTACCAGGTGACATCAGGTGACACTAAGTGGCATCAGTTGGTACCAGGTGACATCAGGTGACACCACGTGGCATCAGTTGGTACCAGGTGTCATCAGGTGACATCACGTGTCATTAGGTGGTACCAGGTGATGTCAGGTGGTACCAGGTGACATCGCATGACACTGACCTGCAGCACAGTCCAGACAAACACCAGCTTCACTGCTTCACAACGATGCCACGTATCTCTGCAAAAACACACACAGGTTTTAAGAACATTTTTCTTTAACAAATGTGAAACTCTCACGTTCCGATCTCTGGTTTTCACCTGGTGAGTCGAGGCTGTAGGACAGTGGTCCCCAAACTACGGCCCCCCCCGCGGGCGCGGGGCGCCCCCCCCCCCCCCCCGCCCCCCCCCCCCCCCCC